CCCCTCCCACCGATAAAAGAAACCTCGAGAACATTGTCTTTCAGTATTGTTCGGTCAGTCGAAATTTGATCAGACTTCGGACCCTCTGTATGGGGCGCCACTTAATCTTCTTTTTCAGGTAAGTTACGAGTATTTTCCTTATTCTCCTCATTCACGAACGAAATATCTGTAAATGAGAGTCAGTCTGTTGGAAATTTGTGCGGACGTAAGAGTTATGTCACCTTTAACTAGGACTATCCTACAGCACGTGTAGGGCTGGTAGTCTGTGAGGTTAGGCTATGTACAGTGAAATAATTTTATAAAGCTTGCTAAGTGTCCCCGCGGAAAAAATACATTTTAAAATATAGGTAATTATATTTTTTTTTTCGAATCAAGCCTACAAAAATATTTTAAAAAACATGTGTACATTTTTATAGCATATGTCATAGCCTCATAGGCTTTATATTAATATAAATGCACACAATATAAATTTACATAATTTGATATTAAAAGTGTCTTTAAAATTTGATGCATTGCTTGTTTATAATCGTGAAATCTGTTTTTGAACTACAGCTATTTATTGTATAGAAATACTTACATGTACATATATTCCGAAAATACGTTTTCATTGCAGATATCATTTGGTGGATGAATTATATTCATAAACATATTTTAATACAGTCTCGAAGATCATCGGAACTCATTTTTTAAGTGCTAAAATTTCATGATGCCGCTTACGCAATAATCATAGTCAGATTTGCTTCGTTAGCTGAAATCCTGTAATCGATCAATTTAAAACATCTGCGAGAAACAAAATGTAAATTATTGATAAGTAACACGTGCATAAAAATATAATTTCATCAGAATATAATTAAAATATATAATGTTATATTTAAAATTGTATGTTACACTTATAATGAAACGACAAAAAGGTGCACAATTTGAACATATATCAAATGTCATTTTTAGATAATGTTTTCAAGTACATTTTGTAATGCATATTTTCCGTGGGGATGTACGATATACAGAGAAAAGGATATAGTAATATTTATTAGACTGTCGAGTATCAATGGTCAAAATGTGGGACAGGTAGGCCTTTATAGTACAGAAGCTAAAACGAAAAGTAGCAATTACTGAACTACTCGTAATGTATGCAGTTTAATATCGCGCTCTACGAATGCTTTCCTCTTAAAAAAAGACCTATATGACCGTCGCTTGTCACAACTCTAGCACATAGGGATATTCTGAAAAAAAATTAGGACTCTATTCGAAATTTCCACTCCAGTGTTAAGAACATTGTAGTTTTTTGTAGAAAAAGAGTCAGGAGTGTAGAGGCCAGCCAGCCAATACTCTCCGAAATAAATCAACTTCAACCTAATCGCTTTTATCAATTGACCATCCACCACCTGTCCTTCCGCCACCCCTTTGATCTATACGAGATAGGTGCTCTGCTTACCTCTTCTTCCGCCACACCTTCATCCCATCCGGCCTGGGTGCTCCACTTATCTTCTCTATCAACACGGCTGCCGATCCCAACAGAACCCTTCCATACTTCCAGCGACCGACCCTCCGACCACCCAACCACGATTTTTTCATAAACGAACCGTCATATACAAAATTTTTATTTGACAATGGCGACTTATATTTTTATGAGAAATTAACTCCTTCATAGTTGCACTACGTATTTGACTGATTGTAAATCTTTATATCCAATCACTCTTTTAATTCAATGAAATATAACTTAAAGAAGTTGACCTTACGATACTATGCCCTTCCTGTGTTTTTAAGTGAAAATCTTATATTTGGGGCATCTTACCAATACACGTCTCATACGAGTATGATTTCAAAATTTCTGAGCTAAGTATAAAAATAGGTAAACCAGTTTTACCAAGGAGAAAGGACTATGCTGCGTGTATTCAAATTCAGATGCTGTAAATATTTCCACCATTTACATAATATCTGATTTGACACGTGTTAATTTCTAATAAAACTATCTCTATACTTTCAGAAATGGAATATTCATTTTCTCCTAAATAAGAAAAATCATCGTCTATAATTAATTTGTCAACCGGCGTCACTATTTTTATCTCGTTTGCGTAAGTCTTTATTAATATTCTATTGGCTGAAAGCTTTGTGGAGATAAGATTTAATCCTCTCCAATACTTAATGTTAATGGTGTTTATAAATCTCTTTCGACAATTAATTAATCTTACCATGTTGACTCGCTCGTAATTAATCGTTTATAATGATTTTGTAACATCCAGCTGTGTTAGATTGGTCCTATCTAATCAAATTATATACAGTTTAAGATAACATACTATGTTCTATTATTTTTGTGAAACAAAATCTCGCTCTCAGCTTTCTTCATTTTTATAAATATTCTGAACATTCATTCTTTTACATTAAATATATCCTAAAATGTAGGTTGAGTGCGCTCCATTCCTTTATGATTCGAGGGAACAAATTCTGCGCTTCGTGTGACCTTACCTAAGTACATGTAATCTATGTAAAATATTAATATTTAACAAAAGGAATGATGGAAAATTTGTTTAACAGAAAATTATTTTATTATGTATTTTAAAGGAATTTTTTCTAAAGAACTTGCAACGACTAAGCTATTTAATGAAAAAATATATACAATTTTGCTTATTGCAAATTTTTGCATCCAAATTTATACAATTTTCAATGGTAAAACATGATTTACAATAATTCATCTACCGCTACTTGATTTTGACTCTTGGCATTTACTAGATTTAAGGTGGTTGTAGGAAATCACACGTTTAAACAGACAGTAAATAAGCATTTCAAGATTTTTGCTTCAAAAATAGAAGAATAGAAATATGAGATAACCATCATTCCAGGCAAAAATCATTACATTCCCCGTAGTACAATTTTCCATTGTAAATGAGAAAGTTTTCTGCGGCTGTACCATACGAAAATAAAGATATTGAATTTCAAAGTTATTCATTTTTATAAGTTGAGTATATCTATGTAGTTGTAGTTTCCACATTTAGATTACTTATATCTCAAAAACTATCACAAACAAAGATTTATAAAAAATTTACAATCTTGAATTCGGTGTTATCACCGTACCCCTTTAACCTATTAAATCGCCGAAATGTCGTATAAGGAATTTTTTGAATCCGATAGTGCCATCTCGGCGATAAATTCCAACATTTCTACCGCCATATAGTATTTTCGTTTAAACGCATTTCGTGTGCACATATATCCATAAGGTATACCCACGAGAAAATAATTTAGTAAATCGGGAAAACATTGTCCTGTGATCAAATGCGATAGAGGATCAATGCCTGGTGATCAAAGAGGCGTTCAAGTCCTCCTTTTTTTTCAAATTTCGATAACGAACTCGAGGGGTTCAAGCTACTCCGCCCTCTCGGTTTTACGGGAGTAATCTGTAATGCCCACCAGTCTGGACTGCGCAGCCCATGACCAAATTTGAATTGCAGATACATAGCGGTGACCCAGCCGATAAAGTACGCCAAGCACAAGAACAATAGAAGAGTGTGGTTGACGATACTGTTGGTCTGGGTGATATCGGCAGCGATCGGAAGTCCGCTTGTCCTCGGACTGAACAACACCCCCGACCGGATACCGGACCTCTGTCTATTTTACAATGCAGACTTTATCATCTACTCGAGTCTATCAAGTTTTTATATACCCTGCATCATCATGGTGTTCCTCTACTATAATATATTCAAGGTAAATATTTCATTGCTTCTTTTTTCTGTGGGCTCAGGACTTTGCCTACGATGCTGTTTTACATATATGTCGGTTTTATCTGTGACCGGGCAGCCTAAAGCAACATTCATATATGTAACATAACAGTTAAAAAAACCTTGGGGTTTATAGGATTAGAATTGTAACGTATCTTATTTTAATGTAGTCAGTATCAAACACTTTCGCAGCTCTTAGTGCCTATAGCATTGAATTTTTTTTTCGAAATTCCGTGCGAGCTTTGCTTTATGGTTTCGGAAGCAACCCTTACGTTGGCAATCTAGTACCCATGGATACCAAAAATATGTACTGGAAACAATTCCTCTGTTTATCTATACTGAGATATACTCGGTTCACAACATCAATGGAACGAGTCACTACCACCGTGTCACTACCAATGCAGCAATAGTGGTTTCTTCGGGAATGGTCGTTACATCGACCAGCACGGATTAATAAGGAATAACTTGATACTACAATTTAATATCTATACACATATACGTATATAGCTCTAAATAGAGTAAATCTCATTTTCAGTTCAAACTTTTATAGAAACGAACCGATTTTCATAATTTTCTTTATTTACGATAACGCGCAAATGTTCAAATATTGATATTAAAAATGTTATAACCGCTATTACACTATACGTCTGACTTTCCGCCTTATACACCGAAATTATTGAATGCACTTTGATCAGTTTTTTTAAAAATATGATTAAGCATCTTTTCGGTCAGCTATTCATCCATATTTCATCGCGCTATGACATTTAGGATCGGAGTAATAAACCGAAATACACGCAGAAAACACGTCATATCCGTTATTACGTAATTACATCAAATTTTTAGGAATATTTTGGGAATACTACGTTACAATTTTTATTAGTTTATGATAATGAACTTCCCGTAGACTGGAAGGACAAAATCTATCCGAGCAAAGGCAGATCGAACGGTTAGACATTTTATATGATTTTCATTACTTTTCATTCACTTAATGAAAACAATGAAATATCATATTTTAGAAATGAAAAGTCCAGGCGCAATTAAAGATTTCCATTTATCGTTTTCCGTCAACAGACTATACAAGGTACAATCGATTGACGTACACGTAAATTTTCAGGCACTCAGAAACAGAGCGAGAAAAGCACGAGCCACGAGAAAACCGAATCTTGGCGATATCAAGCCTGGCAGCATAATCGAGAATATCGCTCATACGCGCAGGTGAGTAGAATAATGTATGGTACGAGTATGGTACATAACCCAGCAAATTTCTAAAGTAGTTTCACCCCGTAGCAGCTAAGCATCAATTCTTTATGACTCAAAGAAGCTTCCTTGTCTATCTATCACAGTACTTCGTTTCTGTCTAATTGTCCAGGTTATCAAGCCACAAATTGTTCCGGAACTCATAAAGTCGTTGCATGAAATCGGCCGTCCAAGTTATCATCCTAGGTTAGGAAGTTCGACATATCGGAACGGACCCGATCTACCCACCCAAGATATCTATACATATAAGATCCATGCTATTCCAATATTCAGTGGATCTCGAAACCAGTTAAACTCACTCCCTCACACTTGGCCCATTTCGCTCTTCATTCCTAGAGCTTTAATATCATATATTAAAGGATGGCGAGGTCATGTTTCTCGGGAACGCCTAGAAAATTATTCATCGGCCATACCGTGAGCTATGTAGCTAGGTATGTGTCCATTTGTTTGGCCTCGATATGGTGACCTTGGAAATCCAGTAGTGCAAATATTATTCACCTCAGTAAATACTGCAAGTTGATGATTATAATCACCAGGATACTAGGGTGCTTCTGTCTCTTTAGACCTCATGTATCTATGGTCTTGCTCTAGTTCTTTCTCTCTATCTCGATTTATTCTCTTCTCTTTTTCTCGCTATTTTCCCTCGTCGCCACATATGTTTCCATCGCTGCTTCTACTTCTCATTGCCTACGGACTCCATCTGTGTTTTACATGAAATGTACTCGATACCCTATCTGGCAATATTAACCGGCATTGGCCATGCCGATAAATACGAATTAGTATTACCACACTGAAAACGTTTAGTCGAGAGGCCATCTTCCCCCTGGACCTATTGGCATAAATTACGGTCTTACCTTGCATTAACCCTGGATAAATCGACCTTATATTTATCGTCGTGGCGTCGAACGCAAACGCTGGGCTGGTCGAATGAACGATACGTCTTGTACGAAAGGTTAAAGCCGTTATCGTTGCATGTTTTACGACTTTGTAAATTTTAGTATCTTTTGAGAAACCCATAGGACCGAGAACATCGGTACGTACAAAGGGATCAGAAAGTGTTGTGGGATAAAAAAAGGATTAATCCTGCTCCTTTAAAAGTGTCACGTTGGTGGTCGACGCCTCATTTATTAAAATTATAAAGCGAGTCCTTTGGATAGGTATACTTGATATATCGCACCCTCGACAAAAAATGAGATGGATCTAAATTTATCGTCGTTAAAGAGTTAATTATTTTTCTTTTAATGGCACCTCATTAATTAACGTATCTTTTCATTCGCTGACTACTCGCACTTGCGGCACAGTATAATCATTACTTATTGTTTCATTGTTTAAAATTCTACTAGTGAAAATTCTCAAGAAACACACTCCTGATACTTTGAGTTTGGTTAATTTATTAGAGAGCGACGAATAAAATAAGCGAATGTAATTTATGCATTAAGCGTGTATATATGCGATAGATGCATGAAAAGCATGTTTTGCTAAAAGTAGAAAGCTTCTGACTAAAATCACGTAGTGTGTATTGTGTGGCAAGGTTCGCCGAAACAGCCCTGGGGGCGGCTGCCCTCGTTGCTCCTGGCATTGAGGAACCGACGAACACGGCTTCGGGAAGTAACGAGGACGAGGACGAGACGCCATTAGATCCCGTAGTGGTCATCTCAAATGATAAGAGCACAGAGTTCTTTCTGGCAACTGTCGTCGAGGAAGCAGCGTAAGATTCTATAATGAATTTATCAATTTCTTGGGAAACGACTAAAGTACCTATCCTTTTTTTTACGTAGAATTAACCATTGCATTGAATTTGTAACGAGTTTGTGAGAAGTTTACAGTCAGTTCGAATCTTGAAAATCCCTTGAGAGGATTTAGGAATCTTGACTTGGTCGTCCTGATCGCTCTCGAAAAGATTAACCTGGAATAAATTAATTTCCCTGTGCCCGAATGCAAGTATTTTCTTAAAGTTCCAAGTGAATAAAGATGAACCAGTTGCCTACCTCACGTCAGAACGAAGTTTTGCCTTAATTGACTGGCTTCGTTAATTAAGAAGATATTATTTCCGGTTCACGGACGCGAAAGTTTGAACTTCCTTAGCAGTAAGTAAATGTCACTGGTCGCGCTGTTCAGGATAATTGCACTTTGTTCTATGGAATAGTGCTTCCGCGGAACAGCCTTTTCCCCACCTACATTTAATCTTGTACCTGTTCGTTTTACAAAGCACTTTGTGGCACAGTGAAAATCAACTGAAAATTCAATGACGAACGTCAGACTTGACTCTTCGAATTTTCTGATAATGAGTCAAAAGAGCACCCTGGGTATTAGTAGTCAATTGGAAAGTACCTTAATGGAGAAGCTTTGATTAGTCGGATAGCATTCAAATGAAGAAACAATGGCAATCATTGTATCTTTTCGATTGACTGATTTAAAGAATCCCAATGGTATAACGCCCTTTGGTCTTGAAACAATGGAGTACAAATCTACAGTTGAAATGAATTTTGATATACAATAGGCACGTGGAACAATAAGAAACAAACAGATAAATAAATAAACCAGTGAACAGAGAGACATAAAAACACGTTCCACGATATCTAAACGTTTATTAAAATCCGATGACTTCTCGCAATCTCAACGTGCGAGGCACTTGGAGTTCATAAAAATAAAGATTCAACTATTGACATAGTAAGTCTTTTTAGGTAGTAGAGGATGTGTCTGATATGGAAACTGCAGTTGTCGTTTCAGTGCGGTTGCCCAGGCCCAACTCAGCGGACGCCCAAATACGAGAAAGGATTCAGGTTATGATGGAGCAGCAAGTAGTACAATACTTCACGAGGCACTCGAGACAAATTCGAGTCCTAGTCCAAATCCGAAGGTAGCTTCAGCACCGTCATCTTCAACCTCATCATCACCACCACCAAAAGGAGCCGGAGGTTCGACTTCGCATGCGAAGAAAAATGGGAATAGCAGCAACAAGCAGGAACTCAAAAGGCTCAAAAGCGCTGGATCTCTTCTACCACTTCAGCTGGGAAGGACGCCCAGCGTCCTTGCCGGTAGCGCTACCTGCAAGAAGGACAGGAAGAATGCCAGCGCAGGCTCCAGGTTCACGATATATAAAGCTAATAAGGCTAGCAAGAAAAAGCGGGAGAAAAGCTCTGCAAAAAAGGAAAGAAAGGCCACGAAGACATTAGCCATTGTACTCGGTGAGTGTTGCCTTTCATCTTGTTCATCTTATACATATGTTCCTACATACGTGAATTCAGAACATGCTCCTCGAGAAGCTGTATTTCACATTTGATAGTAATCATAAGAGTTTTATTTGTTAGTGTAAATTTGAGTATGTAGTCAAGACGTTACTTGCAAGGACAACTAATCCTGTCATTTCATTTTGTAACTTTTGTGGTAGTCTACTACTCAGATAGAACTTACACTTTCATAAGAGGCATTGTATTGATCATAAAAAAGTACAAGACGATATTTCTTGACGAAATTTAAGTTATCGCGTGACGAAGGTTAATTTAATCAGGGATTCTCAAACGATGGATCGATTGAAGGGGAAGCAATACCATAGTTGCCGCACGAAATACATATTAACGAGACTCTGACTCATGTTTCTTTTGTTACTTAAACAACAGGTGTTTTCCTGATTTGCTGGGTGCCCTTCTTCACGTGCAACGTGATGGACGCCCTTTGCGCCAAGTTGACCATGGATTGCCAACCGGGCGTGACAGCTTTCATCGTGACCTCATGGCTGGGTTACATGAACAGTTTCGTCAATCCTGTCATCTACACCGTGTTCAACCCCGAATTCAGGAAGGCCTTCCGAAAGCTTATTAGCGTGTAGGGAAGGTTCACTTTGATACACTGGGGAATTTTTAGCTCACTCTATTTATAAAATCGTACTTAATTAACTAAGAATGATAATGGGCCATATGGCGTAAACGCCGGTATCTTTTTCAAGGGAGGTCGAGGTCACGACCCGCATTAAAATATTATTACATATTTTTGCGCCTTAGTACGTCCAAAATCGATGATCTCGTCCGACTCTGATATCGCATTCCATTGAATGACCTAACTAACTTTTATAATTGTCACTATAATAGTGAGCGTGACAAAAACTGGTGAGGTTGCGCGGCCGACCAGCCAGCCTGACTCGTTGCACTGGCGAATCGAGGCCAAGTTGAGTAGTCGAGTAGTCAAGTAGTTGTGTTAGTCGAGATAACGGAAGGTGATCTTTCGAAACGGAAATCGTTTTCCGAGCTTTTCATTTCAAATGTTTTTTTTTTCCACGGGCTTTGCTCTGTATCGATGCGAATATCAAACTCGTCTTCCCGCGCAGCGGGTTAAGCTGCATAAGCACACCATTTCATTAATTCACTGGGCGACCATTCACTACTGCTTGGTAGTAATTAAATCGGTATTAGTCATTAGGGGAAGCAAATCCCCAGGGGAGCCCCTGGCACATATTATTATTACGATGACGAAGATTACGAAGCTACAATCAAATTTACGACTTGCTATGAAATGGATGCCAATCTATCTAGATGCGTCGTTAGATCGAATCGATTAATTTATTCTTCGTTTATTTCTTCATTTTTCATTGTCGAATTTGAGTTGACGATTATCGCGCACGGACAAAATAAAACCAAAGAATAAAGTAGCGTTAGGCCACACACATCAGTCAGTCCAGTGTTAAAGGTACTTTAGTGAAAAGCAGGCAAAAATTTAAAGTTGTTAGAAAATATTTATTATATGAATATATTATATATTTAAAAAATATATATTATATATATATTACCATAAATATTATATACCGTGGCAGTATTACAGTAGGACCTAAGATATAGCAATATTTTTTCGCTCAAAAATGCTGTTTAAGATGAAACATTCTACTCACCTGTCGTATATAAGTCGATATATTTATATACTGCTCCTTCTTTAAGATATACGATATACATATATCCTTTTACAGCCTCTGCGCCCTTTTCCATCCTTTGGATACCATATCCCTACTTCTCGATCCCGTATCCCTTCCTAATAACGTGAAACGATGACGTACGTACAATGCACCAACTTTTGATATAGTCGGCCATGGAAAACGAGGGGTGATCCCAATTCGAATTTTCATAATAGCTACTAGAACATTTCGCTACGCGTTTTCTATCGCCGTCTGTGCAATTTCCCGCGACCGAATTTCCAAACATATCAATAAATTTTGAAGTAATAGAAATGTCATTGTCCATCGTATTTCCATGGAGCGCAAATAGATACGCACTTACGCAAGCACGCAATCAACACGCTCGACAAACAGGTCGCAGAGCGACAAGACAGAAACTCGCGTGTTATTGCAGCCTGCTAAATACTGAAAAAAAAGAAAAATCGCAAGACGACAAAAATCTTCCACACTTTTATTGAATAGAGTGTAACCAATCGAAAGCTATCGCAATAATTTACAATCAAAGCTTTTTACTCTATGGTTTTTAACTGTTATAAGAGATCTAGTTGTAAACTGATTGTATATTTTGTACATAATTGAAAAATCGGGGAGCCGCGTTGGTGCCACACATCCTTCTTGGGATCAAATCATGATCCGCCATGATCGCAACCATTTTCATATGCGCATGCGTAGAGCCAAGAATCCATTTCGGAGTTGAAAATCTATCATTGGTTCGGGTCCATACTGCTTCCATTCCTTTGTTCTTTGGATTTGTTGGCTGAAATGTAACGGCAATTTAGCTTAAGAATTCTACAAGCAGAACTTTAAGATCAATATTGAGTTTAACAGGAGCGCGTAAGCACAGCTTTAGATCTGAACAGACTTATGATACATAACTGATTAACTAAGATTCGTGTATATATTTATATGTAAACACGAATCTTAACCTGGAGATTGTACTGAAATCATTAGTAAGAGTCTCCAGACCGAAAATGCGCCGAATGTTTCTGCCATGAAAGTAGGACCATAAAGTTCAAAATGAGGGTTGACAACACCATTTCGAACCTAAAATTCTTAGTTTTGGACGTAACTGACAATTGCGGTTTAAACTGGCATTGACAACTAAAATTTTCCTATCCCGCATCAGTGCTAAAGTTTCGAATCGGGTTCTCATCTAACTGGGCACCATATTTCCACATACGCGACTTCCCGTGTATATTTCAAACTTATTGCCATATCTTTAGATAGAAAAATCGAGGATGACTTCTAACCTATACGAGAGCTTTCCTTGATCGTTAATGGGTCCCATGAATCCTTTGGGAGAATGGACGATATACGCTTCGCACTTTATGCAAGTGGATGTACTTTTTAAGAGGAAGAACAAGACAAAGGGAAAATGAGAGAAAGGGGGAAAAGAGAGAGTCAGTGAGTATATGTGTAGCGAAGAAAGAGAGGGAGAAATATAATAATTATAATTTACCCGGCGAAGTCTTCACGCTTTGCTTTCGGTGTTGTTAGATGCTCGAGAGTCAGTTAGACAAAGCGTAAGTAACACGTACACAAATGGGAGTTTACAAAGAAAGAGGTTAGAGATGCAAAGCTCTGAAATCTTAAAGGTTAGACCACACTTAAATATTTCCCAGGAGGAAATCTCGCTGATTCTTCTGTACGCTTCCTAGTAAGGAAATATAAAACGACTCTTAAGGAAAAGCTTTCTGCGTCATAGGAGTGAAACCAGACGAATTTGAACTTGCATCTGCAAATTGACGAGATATATTGGTGATAGAATAGCAAAGTGTCGTGTCAAGAAGTCAAGCGAGCATCATAAAATTCGTAAAACGCATGATATAAATAAACGAGATATAGCGATTAGCAATCGCGTTTTCGTCAAGATGAGTTTCATTTTGAGGGGACTTATTTACGTTTCGGTTCGTAAGAATATGGCCCCTCAATATGGAACCGATGCTACCGCGTGACGACACAACATACGTAAAGTCAGTCAATGAGAATAGATAGGATTCAGTGACGTCACTGTCCAAATACGCAGAACCGTTTGTGGCTATACCTCGTATATTTCTATCATGGTACGACGAGCGTAGCAAAAAAGTGCTTCTGAGCAAAAGTAAAAATAAAGAAAATGTAAAGCCTAGTCTTCTGCTCGTAGTGACATTTCGAGGATAGTAAAAAAATTTTCTTACAATCTTGCGTAAAATCGCTGTATTTTTCTAACCTGACACGTTCCCTTATGTACATACTAAAATGAAATCTACACGGATATAATAATATTACACGCACAGACGAATACGAATGCGGAATACATACATCTACACGGATACATAATTATATAAATATCTGAATATATTAGAAGTAAGTGGCACGAAAGTCAAGCGAATGTAAGACAAGATGAAGAATTTCTGTAAGTTCCTAACTGAGCCCGGAATTTCGGAAATTTTTCGTATGCATGAAATTGAGAGCATGGTAATGCGTGCGTACGTGTGTATTATATGCGAATGGATGTGTGTCTGACTAGTCTTAATAATAATAACAGTAATAATGGTAATAGTAGTAATAATAATAACAACAATAACAACAATATTAATAACAATAACAATAATAATAAAGCGAATATGAAAGAACGTCCGAACGCAAGAAAACCTGAAATATGATATTGTATGTGGTAAATGGAAAAAGGGTGCGCGCTAATTTTTCCTATGAATTTCTTAAATATTACCAATGGTCTATACAGGGCATAGGTTTAAGTCGTGATCTTAATTTGCTAAGCGAACAAGGGCGTACGATACAAAGTGAACTAAAAAAAAAAAAACCTAAAAGCTGAGCGCAGTGAAGGCAATACCAAAAACAAGCAAACCAAGTGACACACATACACCCAATCATACACACGGAACAAGTACGGACGGAAGTAAATAAGTATAATAGACACCTACACTGACACTTGTTAAAATTAATAAATTATAGTATTAATTATACTGTCTTTCATTTAATCAATGAAATCCTCACCTCGCGCATTGATAAAGACTGCAAGGCGGCACTGTTGGTAAGCAATTTTATCTGGTAAGTACACACTGTGTATAAGATGTTGAAGAATCTTCATCAGTCTCCAGAACTGCTCACATGGTTCACGTCAAACTCTATTTGATGCAACGTATTTCTACGACTCTTATTCCAAGAGTATACGCAGCCTCATTCTGCAGATACTCCGCGTGTTTCTAGAATTAATTACAACCGTTATAAAAGGACGAAATTTTAATAGTGTAGTAAAGCCAACATTGGTACGCCGCGGGACTACCCCTTATATACACAGAGTGCAGTAAGCCGGCATTTTCTGTCCCTGGAAGTCGTGTATACTTAACTTCAAAAACAGAAAAGGGGATGGCAGTATTCCAGAGAGTGTGTCGCGGAGGGTTTCTGACTGAGGTCTCGAGTGTCCGGCGGATCGGGAGAAAAATGTTGTTCTTTTGTACTCGGGCGATAACCGAACTATCGAATAATCGCGGGTCGCGATATAGTTTAATGTACATAATAGTGAACCTCCCCAATTAAAAAAATTGTTGCAGATCATTGTCTCCATGATTCTGGTGTATGAACTAGTCAGGGATAAATTTTAAGGATACGTATAATATAATAGATATAATTTTTATTATATCTGGCGCCCATTTCAACCGTGGAATAGGGTGTCATTATTTGTAGATGACAGGTTTCACAAAAAATCTTCGTTACGACATATAATACATATAATAATATAATACATGATGAAATAGACTACATGCTGTGGAACAATCTTATTGCTCCGTTGATATTTAATATCAATATATTATTTATGAGCGAGTTTGATTGATCCTAATATATATTTATAGTAATGACCCTCAATGGCCCGTTTTGATTCCCCGTGATGTCCGATTGCAGAGTTTTCATAAACCACTGAGTATTATTGTGGCGGAAAGTATGCAGATAATTTTGTGATAGTACTCCTTCGTCGGATGCGATTGCCATAGATTTTGATTATCTTCTCATAGTCACCACAGGCTCGTCCCGAAATCAATCTGGAACAGTATGGTGTTTATATAAGTTTATTTGTTCTTCAAAAGATGGCGCACAGGAATTGACTTCTCTTTGCTGCAGTGAACCTCAAAGAGAGTCATTTCCTCCTTGCCAGATGCACGGTATACATCCCACCGATAAAAGATCTGCAGTCGATTGACTCGCATTTTATTAAGAGTTCGTTTTATTAGTTTCATATGTTATAAACTGGCAAATTGCAATCGCATATTGAGTTAAGTAATCAGCGCGGATTACACAAGCAATTCTCTCGCGAGGTAAACTATTTCTACGAGAGACAATGGCGCTGCACCGAGCAGCCCAGAAAACATTTTTTACGAGTGGATTTCTTTTGTTTTGAGCGACATGATGTTGACAAATGAATGGACGGCTGGACGTAAACGGACATGGAAGACGTAGAAGCAGCAATAAGCAGAGTAGCGCTCGTCATATCTAAGAAGCTGCGAACGCGAGTGAAGATTGGATGAAGCCAGGTGACGTACCAACGAATGTTATCATTTGCACACGGGATCGCCGGCGGACGTTACCGAGTCCCTCTTGTTCCTCGCTACACCCCAAGGAACTCCTCCGACTATGCAATGAGTCGCGGGAGTGGCCTGGCACCGTGCATTACAGAATTATAAAGGGTGGAGATGATTTTCGCCCCCAGGAAACACAAAGAATCAAACCCTTGAGAAAATAGGAGCAGCGCCGAGCCAGCCCAGTACCGACCGAGTGACAATTGGGTTATCGACCTGCGCGGTAGTTCTGCGAAATCCGAATTTGCTTATTATTATAGCTCTATTGGCTAGAAAAGCGCTCGTGCGCCTTTCGGGGGAGGGAATCATGGCGGGTGCGATCGATCTAAAATCAGTTCTAGTGTAGCCATCGTAACTGCTATGACGGAAGCAGTTTGACAAAGTGATTATAGCTAGCAGAAATTTAAGTAACGTTTTGTTTATGGCGCTGTAACGGATAGCTGTTTAAGCGGAGGTTAGTACGATCACTGCGATAGTTGCTCAGACTCTATCGAACACCTGATTATGTGTTACTGATTTTGATTTTTCCATACGTAACCAGTCGATGCGCGCGTAAGTCGCGATAAAATATTCGAGGGAGCCTCGTTGTCGTATTCGGAATAAAAAAAATGTATTTCGTTCAAGTAAACTGAGTTAGGTGAATTGCTATATCTTTGAAACAACTATTTTGACTAATTGTCGTAATGTCACAAGCGTTGAGGTAAACAACTTATTTAGTTAAAACTATATTATAAGTGAATTAAATTTCGATTGACGCTACAAAAATTCATTTGTTTTGTGCAAGCTAATATAATTCTTGTATTAATTAGTTTATTTAATACGACGTAATACCTTGCGTGTTGAATAAAACATAAGGTGTTTTTTCACTAAAAAAATATTTATTTGAGCGAAGTAACTTTTTTTCATTCTACTCAAACAATTTCTAGACGTAAGAGATAAATTATTGCTTCGCTACACAAATGCATTCAGTGAAACACTTCCTCTTTTAAATTCAATAATACTCCTATTCCACTGAATAATTCGTTTAACTATCCACGAAGATTGTTCAGTTGTACTCGATAATTATTTATTTGTTTCAATTTAATCTATTTTTTAATTGAATAACATATTTAACGAGTACCGAATAGATTTGTTTGGGCCAAAGCATGCTTTTGTGATTACAACCAAATGTTATTCTCTCTGCATGGAGGGAGTTCCGTTAAAGCGAGCTGTCGAGTGTTAGAGAACGTGCAAGGCCGCAGTTTGTGTTGGGTTAGCGACAGTTTAGTTTTCGCAAATACAGTTGTGTGACGACAGTATTGAATTTAATTGATCGTTTATTGTACTGCGTGCGTTCCTTATTCGGCTAGAACGAATCTACGAGCTTTCTGTTGTTGTCGTCTTTATCATCATTAAGTCGATTTTCTTGTTAATTCATTAAATGGATTATCTCTTTGTGTCCACGTCATGGCAATCGTCAGGGAGGGAAACCGCTTCTCGGGTTATCCGATTTAGCCTCTTTTTGATTACATTCTGCACTATCCAAATTCTCTACTTGTCTCATATCTTTATTAATTTTCTAAATATATTTTATTCATTTGACGTATTTGGATGGTCGTGACGTTTGTCCTTTAGTCCCTTCCTGAGGTCGCACGGAGCCTGTCGCAGATCTGAAGCGAAGTGACCGACCACCCCTCTCTCCTGTCTTAGTCGACTGGGGTATCGCATCCGGGCGGAATTCATCTTGTTTTGTAAAAAGAATTTTGAGAATGATTAGCAAGAATCTTTTGGTAACGTTTTTTTCTTTCAAAGATCGGTATATTTGCAGGGGCGGACATAACTGGTTCCCAAGTACAGTAATCCCGGTCTCCAGTCTTTTAGAATTTAATTTAGAGTTGTTTTAAACTGATTTCGTATATGAGCATTATTTGTAAAGCTAATCCTCGCCTACTCCGAGTGAATATAGCAATGTTCACGTTTCAACGTTTCATGGCGAAGCAACCTTCGAACATTTCTTTAAAATCTTTATAATTGCAAACGCTTTAAATTCCACTCATTCTTATTTCGTTTGCCGTTAACTTCGCGCGTTATAAACTTTCTGAAGATAAAACGCAAATAAATGGTTACTTGATTCCGAGCTTCTTCTTGTTCTCGCTCTTTATATTTCGGTAAATTTACAGAGAATTGAGCATTCATTTCTATTGGAGAAAGCATTTGTCTAGTATTAAACCTAAATGGACACGAACGGTTGCACATTCTCCGTGTTAAGAAGAAAACGATGCCCTAAATCGGCTCATGAATTTGTGACTCATACAACGATAGCTGAAAAACGATATGGGCGCAGGATTGGAAATTAATCAAGGCGCTTTTAGAATATTTTCTCTAGCCACAAACGGGTGACCAATAAATGTTTTCAATAAAGGCACGTTATCGCATATTTTAATTTTTATTATCCGTCATCAAAAAAAGCATGCTCCAAGATAGTCTTTCAAGATAACTTATCTGTTAATGACAGTTGCCATGGCTACTGGACAATGCAAGGTCTACTTTGAATCTATTAAATGACTAAGTTAGGCAAGTCATCGAAAAGATGAAAAATTATGGTTAGTATCAGATACGATCGAAGGGATAATTCACCGTATTAAATGCTGGTGCTGGAGATCTTCGTGGCTCTGTCAGAGCTAAGCCGACTTTTGCAACTCCCAATACCATTGGACGTGTACCAGAAATGCTAGAAGGGTTGGAAAGGCTGCGTTGGTAGTTGCTGTAATCTATCCCGGCGAAACCTCCTAAATTTAGCTGCAACCCTGCAAATGGCAACATTCATTCGTTTAGCAGATCCTTTCGTTTACGATGAGACAGCATGACGAACGTTTGTGGTTCAGTTATTTCGATACCTGAGGAGAATGGTGAGTTCCTTGTTTGTCCGCTCTGGCCAACGTCTGCGAAACTTCCGTCAAACCTAAAGTTTGGAATGCGCCCGGCTGGAAAGAGATCAAGTTGTTAAATTATATTAATCAGGGATATTTTATGAAAACACTGAGTCTTCTATTAGCTATATACAAACCACCGTTATTGGATTGAACACATTTCTAATTATATAATTTCAAAGCAGCAATCTTACAGAAGTAAATAAAGTGGATTAATCAATAGGAGTGAAGTAGATAGTAATAAAATTGGAGAAAATACAATAAATTGGATTAGAGTACATCAAATTAAAGTTTAGTGGAACACTTTGTAGTAAAGCCGCATGGGAAGTATAAATTCAAGTAAAGAAGAAAAGTCGATGAGAGTAGAATAGAACAAAGAACAGCAACGGGTTGCAAAGTTTTGGTAATCTTAATTCTTGGTAGCATACGTTTTTCCTTACGAGCGATTTATTTAAAATTCGGTACTCCGAGGTTTTTGGACTTGCTAATTATTACTCCATGGTCAAAATACAGAAATTCAAAATGGTAGATCCAGCATGGCGAACCGAAATACCAAAAAAAAGCTTGATGCGACAGAAACTCGGTAATCGGAAGTTTTTGGTCCGCCATGTTGGATTCGCTATTTTGAAATTCTGATTTTTGAATTCAAAATCGTAATCAGTAACCCAAAAAACCCCCGAGTACCGAGTTTCATTCGCATCAAGCTATTTTTTGCATTTCGCTCAGTTATATCGGATCCATGATTTTTAATTTCAAGATTTTGATTTCAGATTTGAATTCAGTAAATTTTAAAACCTCTGAGAACTAAATTTTGCTCGAATCGGATGTAAATTACTGGTTTTTTTTATAGAGTTGCCAGGTGGTACTTCTGAGTACCACCGTGCTGCACAGGGTTAAAGAACTTTTCACTTCTAAGATCTTTTCTCATGTTAGAGGCACCGCGATACGTTACGCAATTTCATTTTGAGTTCGGGACTTCAGGTTATTTACGAATAATCAATATTCCTCAGAATGAGGAAACGTCTTTATTGGTCCGTGAAGTCTCTCGAAAGCCTAAGTCTGGCTGATAGGATTTATCAAACTTTTAAGGATCGGCAGGCAAGCAAATATCTGGCCAGAGGAGTTGAACTAATAAGTGCGTACACAATGTTCAATGAAGTATAGAATAATTTTACGTTTCGCTAAATAATTGATAAAAGCAATTTTCATGTAAGTACCTTTACCTATAAATCTGTATAATTATAATATCAAATATCATTAATTTATCCCTTAAACAAACTTTGCTAATGAAACTTTTAATGTAAAACTTGGCCCAAAATTATTTGGCTACTTGTAAAAACGTACCTGAAGGTAATGATACAGATGCAGAATCGCCAGTAGTAAATTCTATCTTTGGCAGTCTCGGTGTACTGTAGTTTATCGTTTGCACAGAGTCGGAAATGGCTGACGCTGCTAGAACCGGAAAATCTGCTTGAGGGAACTTAGTCTGAATTGAGATGGGCAACGAGGAGAGGTAGTTGAAACTCTGGGGAACCTGCTGGATGAGAGGAGTCTTCAAGTCTTGTGGCACGAGATAGTTCACTTTCAGCGGTTGAATTTGATCCTTGTTAGTCTCAGGAAAAGTGAACCTGCTGCTAGTTTCAGGATATTTTATCTGGGTGAAAGCGAACTGGTTCTGATTGTAATTCTGGTTTTGATTTTCATTCTGGTATGGTTGAACATACGTTGTTTCGGGTAGTAATATCGTTCCTTGAGCGTGATTCTTGTTCATTCCAGGAAAAATGAATCTGTCATTACTCTCTGAATGATATTTCGTCCCAATTGACGTAAACTCATTCTGATTTTGGTTTTGCAGACTGTATTTCGTTCCTGAAATTGTAGGATAGTTCCCTTTCAATAGTTCATCTTGATTCTTGCTATACTCCGCGAAAGTGAATCCGTTATTACTTCCAGGATGATACTTGGTCTCAACCAAGACGAACTGGTTCTGGTTCTGGTTCTGGTTCTGATTTTGTGGAACGTATTTGCCTTGATGAAGCACGATTTTCTCGCCTAGAACAGCGTAATTTGGTTCTGGAGGTTTGAGTGATACAGGTGTAGCGGTACTCGTGATAATTCTGAAATCATAAAAAATCATGGATGAATCATAACTCTCCAAAAACCGTTGAGATGTCAAAGAACATACTTCTCGTTGAACGGTACAGTGGAACTTTCGGAAACCGCCCGGGGGATGCTTGAAGAAGTCAGCCTCGTCGAGCCGTCCCCTAATGCTAAAGTTAATCTAGGAGTGGCCGAAGTAGGCGACATGGTAGGAACCATCGGTCTAGATGCCGTAGACGCCGGGTTATACAGCTGAAAGTAATTTCAAGCGTCTACTACTTTCTTTCGATAATTTGGTAAATACTCGACGCTCACTCAGAGCCTTTTTTACCATAGAACGCAGTATTTATATTTTCTTTTCTTTTCTTTCCTTGTCATGCCTTCCGATTCGAGGACCAGCTTGAGTTATCGAGATTCCATTTAACTTTCTACTCACTTCGTTGGCTTTGATGCTTCCGGATCTGCCAGCCGTGACGGCCGAGGTGCTGGCAGCAGATTTGGGCGCAGGAGTATCAGACAGTGGAATGTCAGACATAGTTGAAACTGCTGGGATGGCGGTAGCATGGTTCGCAGGCGCTTCGGCGACAGACGAAATAGCTGGAATTGTTATAGGGTCTGCAGTGGCTAACAATCTGCTGTTTTCAAATGACAAAGCAGCAGGAATAGAGGCGAAATCAAGTCGTTGGTCCCCTGTGAATTGGAAGGAGAGTACCGCTTGACGTTAGAGCAACATAACTCAAATCTCAGTATATACTAAGTTGACTGACCGATCTTTAGATAACTGGAATGCCCGCCGAATGATAGAGGTTGTCGCTGTTCTTCAGGTCGATGTTGTGGTATCTCATAAAAGCCTCGATGACGTCGTGGATATGAATGATACGCATTATAACGAGGCCCGAAGTAGAGATCTCGCTTAAGTGGACCCGACTGTTGACTGGGGCCATAAGCGGTTACAACAGCAATCGCTGCGCTGAGAATTGCCTATAAGAAACGTGACCATTATTCAGTGCTTAAAAGTACAAAAATTGCAGAACTTACCAGTACTGTTAAAATTTGTTTTATTTGCATCTTAGAGCTATCTATAACACTAGATATTTACTGGACTATAATGTATCTGTCGTGTGTCTCGTGGTGACGCATGCTTATATAGGCACCCTGAGTGCAACTATGTTTCTTCCACCTCTTGCAAGAAATCCAGCTAGAGTAATAGCTTCGACGCCTTTCTCTTCTTTTACATAGTTCGCAGTCTGTAGCTACTCTGAAACACATACTGACATATTGAGTGAGTCTACTTTGCGCAGAGTTATCCATATGCATACTGGATACTACTGAATAAAAGAATATGGATCTTGCACCAGATAGACCTTTTCGATTATGATGTTTTCTTCTTCATTGACACAGTCGCTGTTCGTTCAGTCGTTCGCCTTTTTAAGCAATAAACTAGAAAATATTCGCCGAATCCAGGAAGAGGAGGGGAGGTTGGACGTTCTTTGATTCATTTGCAGAAATTCGCTGAAAAGTTTTTTTTTTCAGTTGCCTCGACAATTTTTCATGAACGGAGGTAAATAAGGAAGTTGACAAGTTAAGGAGAAAGATTAGAAGCGAGACAATATAAGAGAAATGGTGGCAGGAAGGAATGAGTGATGGAAGATGGTAATGAAATAAAAAGAATAAGGTAGGGATCAATCTGTTTTAACGTTACGGTAGCCAATATATCCTTCAGCAATGGCGATCGAGAAGCGCGCACAAGAGATTTAATGAAAATGAGGCCAATTGCTGCTCACCGAGTTATAAACCAGGGCGCTGAAGCAATGCGGCAGCATGAATTATAAATTGCAAGCATAATTCAACTCGTTCGCTTGTCGTGAAAATGTCGAGGGGTTTCGAAGACGCAAAGCATCCGGAGAGCGTCGGTGGAATGTCGTATGAACGTCGAAAGAATGTCGAGGCTGATGACGACCATCTAAAAACATATGAGGGTTATGTGACGTGTCCATAATGAAACCATCGCTGGGTCGTATAAGCGTCATTTGAATTGTATCAGTTCAAAAGATTATTCATTCTGGTTAAACCATCGAATTCCAGTTCAACTAAGCCTGTAGAAGTTGAGCTGTACCCGTGAGTAGGGTAGATACCTATATGTATTTACCGGTTTAAAATAGGGTTTGCAGGGACGTAACCCAACTCTCCCTTTAAATATCAAAATACATGCAAATTTTCACGTTGGCGCAATTCCCATAGCTAAATTGAGAAGCTGATTTAGCGAGAGTTAATTGAATTTCGGCAGAGTTCTGTACGATCCTTCTCTATATGTTAAAAAAATGTTTTTAATTAAACATGTAAACAATGAGCCAGTAAAAGCTCCGAATATCACGGTAAAATGAATACTATTTGTTTGCATATGGCGCATTTACATACAACGACATCTTATCGGAAAACTCATCCACTACGATGAAACGATGTGTACTTGAAGTAGCAGCATTTACCGAGGGAATAAAATGCGTTACGATCGATTCGCGGAGGAGTGGGAATGACGCGATTGCAACGTACACTGTCACGATCATTTCCATATTCCGTTCTTAAGTTCCCGACCTTCAGCAAACGTCGAAGCTTTACGAGTCGCGAATCAACCCGTAAAATGGTAGGCGAACACGGCTTGAAAGAAAACACGACGTGAAACCATCGCGAGACGAATCTATCGCGTCGCAGAGACGAGCTTTCGCCGGCAGCGTTCGTGAGAACAAATCAAGAGGCATAAATAACGTTATATGTATAAGGAAATTTTGAGAAGTAACGTTTGTTGAGAAGCTTTTGTTGGCCTCTGCGAAAAATAGTTTTCACGAGGGTGGTAAAACGCGTCGAATAAACTTACGACGAAAGCGTCTTGGGCATCCCTTGACTTGTTTCGACGTTGGATTTAAATTAGATTTGAATTTTATGTGCTCCTTTGTTTTCTGGGTTAGCTGAAGTAATATGCTTCCACAGAAGGCTGCCCTGAAGCTTTAGAACGATGGCGAAACGCGCTGCACAAACATTCGCGAATAATCGCGGACGTCGCCCATAAAACAGGATCGCAGTAATAGTGAGAGTAAATGGCAACGATTGCACCTGCTTTGGTGTGGGTCGACTAAGAGCTTGCCAGAGGAGTTTAAACCTGAGTTTCTTATGTATACTGGATTTATATGAATCCATTAATTTTAACGCATCGATTCAAGTTCGCATATCCGGAAAGAGCTTAAGAGTAGCTTGTACGTTAATAACGATCGTTCCCTTCGTCGAGAGGTGTAGCAGATAATTTTTTATCACTTGCAAATTAGTCACGATGATAATATCATCACATTGATAGAAGAGTCTCTGACAGTGACACGGAGTTGACGTGGCGCAGAGTGTCCTTTGTTATATTAATCGAATCGATGCAAATAAAATTTTCACGTCAACCCAGAACGCCTGAGTGAACTTAAGGTTCTCTCATGGGAAACGAAATTTCACCAAGTTTCATTGGTCTCAATAGCGGTTTGAACCACTATTTCCGTGAGGTAGTACGCTCACCTCCCAATTGCGTGTTAAGCTATTTTGATATTTCTGTTGACTTTCATTCCCACGTATTTCCACGCCACGGACATTATCAAATATTTATCAAACGCACGAGAACTCCCCTTACGAGCTTGGCTTTAAAGAATGATTCTCAGAAAAACACCATTTCGGCCGGTTTAGTGAAAAAAGTATAATTGAAAAGTGAAGAAAAAATTTAACTTAAAAATTCATTGCCACGTATGATTAACATAATAATTATTTTATTTCATAGATTGTATCAAGTGTGCCGACGCATCACAATTTCGTACAATACAATTCGTATCAACATTCCTCTTCTTTATGAACAACCAAACTGGGCGTTTCCATTTCATTGATATGAAATTACAACATAATCCCAGTCCCCACCGGATACTAAAAACATTTATTTATAGCTCTTAACTGATAAATTTTGAGGACAATTTTCATAATTAAACCTTATCATCCTTTAAACAAAAATTTTGATATATGGATTGATCAGCGTGGTCTATCTCTTAATTTTTTCTTCTTAATTTATTTTTCATCACAAAATTTCCCACTCCTCTCCTCTCTATCCCCAAAGACGGCGTGCCTAAGCTCGTCTTGTCATTTTCACTTTGTGGCTGACGCCTTGTTCGTGAGCGACAGGAAGGAAAAGATACCTGCTAGAAAGGTGACATACCTTCTTTTTGCATCGTAACATTGAGTTCTCATGTAGCAAGTTCAAGAACTATAGAATGAGTGGTTTTCCAAATACAGTGTACCAGAACAATATTGCCGTGGCTTGAGTATATGTATACTCGACCCGATGAAAGCTAAATGCGTTGATTTACGAAGTAACGATGTAAGGACGTCTGTGCTCCGAAAGCGAAAAAGCTTCCTTGACATCTGGCATTTTCCCGACTTTGATAAATCCCCTAAATCTGTGCATTTTTCTTCCCAGACTGGCAAAAGAAAAGAATTAAACGTCCATAAGAAAACTGACGGATATTTCGTATAACCATCTAAGTAAGAAGTGTAGGTATTTCTGTACGTCTGTGTATACGCACCGCCATACGTATACGTATGTACATACTCGTGATGTTGAGCTACTCGGCCATGAAAAATATTCTGTGAATGAATGGCGAACAATCAGAAATCCTGTCGTCTGACTTTAGACTCGATCACACGGAGACTTCGCTTCAAGAGAGGATGTTACAAATACAAAAAATATAATACGTATTCAAGTATTAATCTGCCAAATTACGATTTATTATTTTATCGTGCATATCTCATTACCTTTAGTATCCTTTATATAAAATTATATTTTTTTGATAAAGAATCCTCTGCTTGGAAAGCAGATGGCCAGGTAGTGATCTAAAGTTGGCATTTGACACAAAGCCTCAGTGAGTTCCTTTCGAAGTCCTTGAATTCGCGTGGTTTATGCGAAATCTCGATAATCGAATGACGTCGATAAAGCCATGAGTAATGATACTGATAATGAAGGCATTACTTTCACATTAATGGATGAAAATGACGTTACCAAGGAATCGAGGTATTGTCTTCGATAATGCGTATCGCGACTGGAATAATAATCATGAAATATAACGAGAAGGTTGTCGGAGCAAAGTGTGAAATACGACATAATAAAGTGTGATATAACGCGGTATAACACGACGTGATAAAATACAATGGAATAAAATAAAATATAATACCGAGTAACGTAAGTTGTTTTGGAAAAAATTAGGCAGCGACCATCTTTCCTATCCCACTCCAAGCCTTCAGACAACAAATTACAGGGATTTGCCAATCAAAATTGGTACATCCAAGAAGAGTAAAAAAATGTCCAATGAAACCTGCTTGAAAACATAATTTTATAGAGCCGATGAGCAGATGACAGTGGAAACCATCGGCAGGCCTGACCCTTCAAATAAATAGTTCAGCCGGATTAAGGTGGTATTGGGGGGTAAACGCTAAAGCTTTTGAATAATTAATTTTGCGTTTAAATATACTTGAAGCAGCCGTCGCATTTGGATACAACCGGGTGTACAATAAGAATACCCAACCAACTCACATTTCTATAACTGGACATTTCCCATTTCCCATTTTGCCCGAAAACGAAAGTGAGTAGTTTCGGGATTCTGGGACACACGTAGCTTTCGTTAATTCCTTCGACTTATCCCAACCTACTATCCACTAATCCCGCAGTTAAAATTAAGGGATGTTATTAAACCGCTTTGCTGATTCCAAAGGGGCGAGGAAATTTGTCGGAGATTATGACACACGAAACAGACCCCGTGATATTCAAATCGTTAGTGAAGCATAGATAAGTCAGAAAATAAGTTAATGTCATATAGACTGGTAATGTCTCATAGTACCATTTCAAAACGAGATTAACTTGAAGTAAAGTATAAACAGAAAGGAAGCGATCATGATATTCAATTGTGCCATATGTAATCGGATCCCTACGATTTAACATGTAAAGTACGTAAGTCTAGCGAGGGACCGAACCCTCGTGTGTCTACAGGGTATTTCAAATAGCTTGGGTGCCTGAGATAACGTGGATACACTCTAAGTCGATGCTAACACATGAAAATTTCCCTTATCGGAGCTACTGCGTTACTCTGCCTGATCCCTCGTGGAAAAGAATATGGAAACACGAGAAGGTGAAAATCGTGCGAATTACGAAGGGTAGGAAACTGCAATTAAATAGG